TTCCCCCTCTGCTCTGGGCCAACTTGAATTTCCTTGCAGCCCTATGGTATTGGGGGTGGGTTGAAGAAAATGGAATTTATCAGGCATGGACTCCCCCCAATTCTCTGTCCTCCTTGTATTAGTTTCCTGTGACTGCTGGAACAAATAACCACACACTCAGCAGCTGGAACAGCACACATTTACCCTCTCCTGGTTCTGGAGGCCAGAAGTGGGACCCGGGTCTCACAGGGCGAAAATCAAGGTGCGGGCAGGGCTGTGGCCGTCTGGAGGCCCCCAGGGAGCGCCATGTCCTTGCCTTTCCCAGCTTCCAGAGGCACCCCCATGTCCTGGCTCACAGCCCCTTCCTTCCTCTTCAAAGCAGCAGTGGCCAGATGAGTCCTTTGCACATGGCATTATTCTGACGCTGATGTCCTCCGCCTCCCTTTTGCACTCTTAAGGACCCATGAGATCACACGGGCCTTAGGCTTCCCACAGCTACTTGACCTACAGTCTGGGTCAGTGACTTTTAACTCACTGTTCTTCGGCTCCTGCCTCAATGAAGTAGCTCTCATGTATGTCCCCCAGGGATCTCCTACTGTCCAAATTGACTGGACATTTTTTTCATCCTGAATCTACCAGATCTCTCAGGCTAAAAGCACTTGCTCTTGGGAATTATTTTTTTCTATTACCTTCCGTGATGAAACTGCTTGTGCACTTCTCCAACCTTCCTTCTCCATCTTATTCTGTCTCCTCTTCCTTGACGTACCTCTTAAAATCTGGAGTTGGGGCTTGTCATTTTTTGTCACCCACTTGGTGTGGACAATGTCATCCACTCCATGGTTTTATCCCCAAATCTTCTCTATCCCTGAGCTTTAGGCCTTTATACCCATGTCTGAGTTTCCATTTCAGGGAATGGTAGCACTTGCCACTCAATCGCCTAACCAAAACCTCAGTACCATAAATTTTGACTTCTCATCTCCCTTTTCAAACCATCACAGACTCTTACTGCTCCGTTTTCAGTCTGCATTTCTACGCTCTGTACTCCAGGCTCGGTTCTCTAAGTCTGGTCAATTATGATAGCCTCAAACTGGCCTGTCTCCAGTCTTGTCAGCCTGCAATCCACCCTCCACATGGCTGTCTGAGTGACACATTTTTATACCTCCCTCCCCTGCCTAAAACATTTCAATGTTTCCTACAGGATAGAGAAGAAAATATAAGTTCTTTAACATGGCCTCTGAGGAGCTCCCTGGTGGGCCCCTGCCTACCTCTGGGTCATTCCCAGTCCCAAGCACTTTATAATCCAGGAACACCAGCTTGCTGTGAGTGCCACACACACTGCATACAAAGTACCAGCTCCTTCTGTCCATACTGGTCCCTTCTATGGTGACCATTTCTTTGTCATTTTGTCTTCTATACATGCCAAAACAAGAGTTTTAGGTTGTTTTTGAACTTACATGAATGGAATAATATTTATCTGGCTGCTTTCAATCAACATGCTTATGAGATTGTGTTATGTGTAGCTGTTGTTTGATTATTTATCCCAAGTATATAGTATTGCATTGTGTGAATATGTCAGTTTGTTCTACTGTAGATGGGCATTTGGGCTGTTGCCAGTTTTTTCTGTTGGGGGGGTGGCATTACAGACAATGCTACTATGAATATTCTTGTACATGTCTTTTGGTACATGGAAGTTCGAGAGTGGAAATGCTAGGTCACAGGGTAGGTATCACAGTAATTTTGTCCACTAATACCAACTGTTTTTCCAAGCGGTATACAAGTGTTCCTACTGGCCCACAACCTTGTCATGCTTGGGACTATCAGACTCTTAAAGGTTTGCCAATCATGGGTGTGGGGTAGCGTCTCACTGTAGTTTGAATGTACATTTCCCGATGACAGGTGTGACCAGCCTCCTACTTGACTTTCAGGAGTCAGTTCTGACCACATTCCCAGCAAGTTCCTCCCTGACCCTCTCGTCTGGCCCCAAAGTCCTCCATCCGCCTCTATCCAAGTGGGCAGGCTCCGCATAGGAATCACCAGTTAACTGCACCGTCTTCCCACTAAGCCAGGCACTCCTTGAAGGAGCCACTGTTGTACTCATTTTTGTTTCCAAACAAAAGCCAGCTGGTCACGTCTGGGTCATAGTAGACAGCGTTTGTCAAAGTGACCTTACTTCATAAAAACACATCTGGGCTCTGAACCTGTGTTATCTATAAAATGACAAAAAAAACACCCCTATCATTTTTTTATTTTTTATTTTGGTATCATTAATCTACAATTGCATGAGCGACACCCTATCATTTTTGTAAGGTTGTGGGATGTTTAAATAGTAGTGTTTGGCATATAATAGCTCCCTTCTTGCATTTAGGGACCAGGGGAGTTGGAAGCACACACTCTGGCTTTGGACAGACACAAGGATAGAAATGAGATAACACCAGAGGCAACGCTAAGTCTAGATTTCATCTGAGATATAAGAAAATGCATTGAGCTCGTCATTTAGCTACTGTGAGTAATTATATGGCTGGTAACAGGAGAGCCTGGTGATATCTGACCTCTCACCTCGAATTCACCTGCCATCTGAAGCTAAAAGAGACTGAAGTTCAGTGGGCATGATGGCCCCGCCCCCACCCCCAAGGATGCCCACGACCTAAGCCTCGGAAGCTGGGAATATGATACTTCACACAGCAGGGGCATTCCGGCTGTGAGTGGAATTAAGAAGGCTGACCGGCTGCCCTGGAGATGATGGGGAGACAAGCCTGAGTTATCCAGGTGGGCCCAATATAACCGCTAGGATCCTTTAAATGTCAGTGAGGGATGCAGAAGAGTCAGAGTCCAGAGATTTGAAGATGCCACATTGCTGGCTTCAGAGACAGAGGAAGGGCCCACGAATCAGGGGAAGATGGCGTCCACTGGAAGCTGGAAAAGGCAAGGAAGAGGACTCCCCCCTAGAGCTCCTGGAAGAAATGCAGCCCTGCTGACACCTTGACTTCAGGCCAGTGAGCCCCATTTCAGACTTCTGGCCACCTAGCACCATAAGAAAATAAGTGTCTTACAATATAATAAATCACTAAGTTTGTGGTGGTCTCTTAGAGCAGAAACGGGAAACTAATACATGAGGTAAATGCCGTTTTGTGCCACAAATACTGCATGAGTGCAAGTGACTAAAATGCATTTCTGAGAAGGGCTATTGTAAGGAACCTTCAAGAATATGCAGCCATACCTGCGCTAAAATGGAAGGACAGAGGCCTCCTCCCAAGCTAACAGATCTGTAGCATCTGGGGGCTGGGAAGACCTCTCACCGAAGAACAGGGTCAGAGCCCAGATGGGAACGCAGGTCTCCACCCATCCCAATCAAGGTTCTTCCTGACACAGGTTTGTGAGACAAGGCTCCTGAAATGAACAAATTTCTAATTTATGTGGAATGCACTGTGCAATGCAGTCAATTTCAGAAGCACATATTAATCACTGTAAATGAATAAGCCATGTTCTCCAAAGCTACTAAAATAATGAACCATTAGGCATTAATGGTCGTGTCTGAACTTTTTGCTGCTCTACGTGGTCTAGATGCATTACTGCCTTGGCTTTTACAGGACAAATTGTTGCAAATAAGGAGTAATCTGTACGTGAATCTAAGCCTCACAAGGAAATGAGAATACTTTGTTTTGCTGAGCTTTCCTCTTCCAAGTATGTTGAATACAGAAGACTTTGCTAATAATTCCTAATGGATTTATAAATCCACCAATAGCTGTTGGAATATTAGACTCTTACTTCAAGTATTCGTATTCCAGCAACATGCTTTTTTAGTGATTCTGTGAACCTAAAAAATTCGACTGCAATCTATTCCAAACTGCGAATATGCTAATCTTCATTCCTGTTTTTGGGCTGCATGCTGCATACATTTCTTACTTCCTTTGGGTGTCCCCTGCTTTGCTTTACTGACCACCAATGGCTCCGTCCTCCAGGCATAGGTGTCCATACTCCATAACAAATTCCTGTATTTTAGGAATGTTCCCTTTATATAGTCCTGCCTTTGCCTAACACCCCCAAATTTTGCCACAAGAGCTGTCCAAATGACTGACACCACAAATCTGTATTCTGTAGAGGGCTGCAGGCGAGGAGATACTAGTCAGCTTATTTTGAAACTTTCGAATATTATTCACACCAAAAAAGCATAAGCATAAGCTTTTCTGCCTTATCAAAAATAGATCAGAAAGTGCTATGACCATATTTAGAAAAAGCTGTTACATTATCAAAAATACATGATTCCAAATTACTTGAGAGACTGTCCCAGGAAGAGAGATTATTCTATTTCATTCCAGAAGGCAGAGTTACAGCTTATTCAGTGGCAACTCAAGTTTGAAACCTGTGGATATTTGTTTTGATGCTGTGGGATGTCAGGCATGTCAGTGAACCCCTGGAGCAACGACATTCTTCTCAGTTGGAAAACAGGGATAATAGAATACATGGAGCCCGTGAGGCTGTAGTGAGGATCAAGTGTGGCAATGTCTGAGGAAGAACCTTCCAAAGCATTTCAAATACTCAGTTTTAAAAGATACACTGAATCTTTTAAACGCCTTATTCTGATTTTTTTTTTAAATGGTTCATTTTAGTTTACTGCTGTAACTATTTAGCATTCTTAGGATGCACATAAACAATGCCATTTCCAATTGGCAGTACTACGTGAAGAATCTGAAAAACCCTTACCCAAAAGAGACATCAAATATGGCTTATTTCGACTCATGTCTCATTCTTCCTTTTAATGTCAACTGCTGTGTTCTCTATCCTGGGTCCACAGGCTCGTGTCCCTGCACTCCAGCACGTCTGTGGAAGCTGCCCTTACTTTAATAAGGACAACTTGGAACTTAACCTCTGCATTGTTAACACACCCAAATTGTTGGGATCTGGGGAGAGCCTTACAAAGTTGCTAGTAAGATAAAAAGCATGTGAAGTACAGCCAGGAAAAGGAAGGAAGATGGGTATCATATGCATTTGAGACACACAGTTACATCCCTGAAAATAAAGGGTAGGTTGAGTTAATACATTTATTACAGCAGGTCTTTAGTTGCTACTGCCATGAAAATTTTTTCATGAAATTTCACAAAATCCTTTATGCTATTAGTATTAGCTTTTTCTTTTTATGGACTGACCCTTTGTTAATTTATGAAATATTTACAGTGTTTACAAAAAGCAAGAGAATATCTAATAAAATTTCATATACATACAAACTTTATACATTACACTATTGTATTTGAGATGTCTTATTTGGTAGACCAATTAAGCTATGACATAAAATAACTTACAAAGATATATTTAATCTCTCTTAATTCATTGAAAACAAAACCATATTAGCTATAAATAGTCCTTTACAAATCATTGTAAAACACATTAATTGTTTTAACTCTATCCTTAACTTTTACAAACATACTTACTAAATGAATTAGTTTAGTCCAGATAGCAAGTAGAACGTCATCTGAAATTTCTTTTAATCCTACAAAAAGAAAAACAAAAAGCCAAACACCTGAAAAAGCAAACTGCCAGGGACTTCAAGTAAAAATTTGTAGAAGCAGTTTTGGGCATCCAACATCATTTCAATTGAAATTCATGAACACCACTTTCAAGAATATACTCAACAAATGTACATCAGCAGTTTTTATTTCAGATGATACTCTAGCAACACAGCTCCTACATCCCAGATGGTCAACCCTATACGTTGGCAGATAAGCTGGGCTCTGACTAGAGCAACATTTGCAAGAACACTCACCTAAGCAGCGTGATGTGTCGGGGCTTTTTTCCACAACCTGAAAATAGGTCAGAATTCTAGGCAAGCTCTTGGAAGAACTTAGAAAACAGAACTGGCAAATTAAAAAAAAAAATCAAATCATACTTAATTGGGCTCCATAAATTTAATATAAAAATATACTTCTCTTGAAAACTAGGGGGAAGTGCTTTACATTCCAAAATTGCAAAAAAATGAAAATCTCATCTACACAGCTATTTCTCGTAAACTCACCACCTACAATGGTATAAAATTTGGCAATTATTTAAACACCTTGTTTTTGGAAAATGTCTCAGAAGCTGAGCTCAATTTGGTTTTGGCAGTAATACACATCTTTCACATTTGGGTTCATTTTAGATAATCCGAAGCAATTATAAGCAGCTTGAGGAAGATTCATTTCACAAACATGTATTTTTTACCTTTACTTTAAAAAACACTGTTGTTCCAATTAAGCCCACAAAATACATATCGTATATCTAGCATTTCTAAAGATCTACATCAAATTTAAGGTTTATCTTTCAAAAGCTGCATTTGAAAGGTGTCAGGATTTTCCAAAACGCCATCTTGGCTCCTTTCTTCTGATTGCTGTGTAGACACTAGAGTTTTCTTGTAACATGTATTCTAGAAGGCACATATTCAAGAGTTTAAAGATTATGGGAGTCCGAGTCTTACATGAAGGCAAATATTTTAATCTACTTTGTACAGAGGCCCCAAACGAGAGTCAACTACTTGCTTTATTCCCAGGGTGGGCCCTCAGAAGTGGGTCTGCACGTGGGGCACCAGGGCTGAAGGGCTGGATGGGGACGGGGCGGGGTCAGAGAGCTTGGCGGAGTTGGCCAGCTGCAGCTCCTCCAGGCGCTTGATGTACTCATCGCGCAAGGCCAGGAGCTCCACGTAGCGCTGCTCCACAGGGTTGGGCTGCTGAGAGAAGCACATGGTGAGTCAGGGCGCCGGCCATAGGCTGCCCCTGCTCCAGCTGGCTGCCCGCTGGGCCTCGTGGGTCAGGGCCCTAGACATGCACATGTGCACACCCACATACTCAGCCACCCACTCAGCCACAGCCTCACGCACCCCGACATGCACATACCCCCACACACTCACACACAACCAACCACCTCCAACACACGCACAGCCAGACAACCCCCTCCCCCCCACAGTCACCTTCAATGCCGAGAAACTTAAAAGCACAGCAAAGTACAAGGACAATCAAACGCCCCACTACACGCCCCCAAGAAATAACTTATGTGCACATTTCCTCTCCCAGGCCTTTTCAGGTTTATGAACCCAGACGTAGCTCCTGTCTCCTGTGTCACCCATCCCCAGGCCCACTGCCCTCTTCTGCTCGTCCCAAGTTGGCATGTGGCCTTCCTTCCTGTGCAGACTTGTGACACTTTCCTGAGACCTGAGTATCTAGAAATGGAGGTTGCACTTGTTTGCCATTTGGAAAAACTGCCATCAGTGGTGGTATTCTGCAGCTATCACTCGGCATCCTGCCCTGACGTTATGGTTCTGACATCGATCACAGCTGAGGCCTGCTGAACGACTAAACCCCAACTGACCAGTCTGTGCCCACACTGAGGGCCAGGTGGTGATGGGCAGCACTCCCCACCCACACAGTGGCAAAGTCCTCAGACAGAGCTCCTGTGCACATGCCAATGCTTCTTGAATTACAGATCGTAATGTGCACAGAACTTAAAATGTTCAGCTGAATGAATCTTTATGTATGTTTACACTAATATATCACCACCCAGGCCAAGATAGATAACAGAACAGCCCCCAGAAGACTCCCTTGCCAGCACATTAATGTTTTGAAATGACCAAGGGCAAGCTTCCAGAAAGCCTGAGCAATATATGACAAGAAAACAGCTGAAAGTCTGCAGAAGTGCCTTATTTTAGCCCTAATGGCTTCTAGAACCAGCCTGTGTTCCACTGTGGTAAGCTATCTGTTGACACTGTGAGCACCAACACGGAAGCTGTGAAGACAAGCCGCTGCTGAATGAGGCTGCCCCCACCTGATTCTCCCTGCCCAGGAGAACCGTCTGTATTTATTAGAAGCAGAAGCCCTCCAGAGCCTGCACCTCAGAGGAGGGAGTATGAGCCCTGGGGTTTCAGACTGCGTGTGTGTTTCCGGGGGCTGCCCTAACAAATCAACACAAACTCGTCGGCTTAAAACAACAGGAAATTTTCTCACAGTTCTCCAAGGCCGAAGCCTCTGGGGAAGAGCCTTCCCTGCCTCTTACTGCTTCTGGTGGCCCACGGTATCCTTTGGCTTATGGCCACGTCACTCACATCTCTCCTGTTTTCACATGGCGCCTACCCTCTATGTGTCTGTGTCTCAAATCTTCCTGTTTTTGTCCTATAAGGGCACCTGTCAGTGGATTTTCAGCCTACTCGAAATCCAGGAGGATCTTATGTTGAAATCCTTAATTATATCTATAAAGATGTGTTTCCAAATAAGCTCCCATTCATAGGTTCCACGTGGACATGGCTTCTGGGGAGACCACTCAGACCACTACAGGCTACCCAGGAGGGATCAATGGAGGCCAGGTACACATGCCACCCAGATGTAACTGTGCCTGTATTTCTACTGGGATTGTTGCTTTCATTAGGGCTCTGGTTACAAGGCTCCACAGGTTTGGAGAGGTCTCTTTTACTGTGTGACTGCAGAATGTGAGGCTTTTCAGAAATGCATCTCTGGCATCAGAATGGGAATGTTGGCAGAGCACCTGACACCTAGGAAGTGCTGTGGACTGCCAGCTGGCTAATCCCTTCCATCCACTTTTTCCTTGGTGCGTTCCACTGAGGACCAAGGTGCTTAGGAGCCAGCAGTGAAGAGAGGCCCAAATCCCTGTTGTTATGGCATTTACCTTCCAGCAGGGGGAGACAATGACTATAACAATCCTGAGTTAACAGAATGTTCGAAGGTGATTAAAACTATGGAAAAGAAGTAGAGTGGGGCTACAGGGATGGGACGAGTGGGGCGCCGGTGACACCCTCACGGGGTGGTTGGGGTGAGCCGCACTGAAGAGGTGACTCTTGAGGGAAAGCTTGAGGGCAGGTAGGGGGAGCCTGGTGTGGCCAAGCTGAGTGTGTGAGAGCTGCTGGTGCAGAGCCCAGGGTGGCCGGGGGCACAGGAGGCCTCAGGGGCCCCTGTGAGGACTAGGGCTTTGGCTCTGGGCGAGGGGAGCAGCTGCGCGACAGTTCTGAGTGGAGGAGTACTGGGGCCGGGTGTATGTTCCCACTGAGGACACTGGATGGCAGCAGGGGGGCGAGCCAGGGAGTCCGGCTAGAAGGCTATGCAGCCAAACAGCACCCAGGGCAGGCGGCCTGCAGCTGGGGGCTGTGGAGGTCCTGCAGGCCAGAGCCAGTAGGCTCTGCTGACAACTGGAAGGGGGGTGTGAGACAGAAAGCAGTCAAGGGTGACTCAGGTCTCCGGCCAGGGCGACTGGGATGGAGCTGCTGAGAACTGAAAAGGAGTAAGAGGGCGGAAACAGCAGGTGTGGGAGATCCTGAGTTCTGTGTCCAAGGTGCCAAGTTTGATTTGCTGTGCCAGGCCCGTTCTTGTTCCCATGCATTACACTGCCACCTTTGTACCCCACCAGTTCCATGCCTACCTAAGTACTCTGCTTCTGGGCTCTATTCTGTTTCAAGTAAGTTACTACACAGCAGGGCAAGTTCTTCCTTGATATTCTCCTCCAACGTTGTATTGGCTGTTTTTAAACCCTCCCATTTTCATATGACTACTAGAATCAGTTTGTTATTGTGCCAGTGAGGACAATCAGACAAGAAAAGGAAACCAGAGGACAAGGCTGTATACTTAGAAAACACGAGAGAGTTGAATGAAAACAGAAATAAAAAGATAATTTAGTCTAGTAATGGGTACAAAAGGTATGGAAGTCATTAGCCAATAAACACAAGCGATGCAGAGCGTGTCACAGATGGAAAGAGTCCATCAGTGACAGCATACTGAAAGTCACATGGAGAGCTGAGCCTAGAAGGCAGGTGGCCATAACTCCTGCCCCTCGGCTTCCCACTTGGGCAATGAATTATGAGGTAGAGTGTGCCGCCAGGTAGAAGGTGGGCAATCAGCTAGCTATAGAAGTATCCTAGGCTGCAAATGATTTTCATATTCATGTTCCTTTTACCACTTCTTTCCGAAATAACCTCACCACCACACAGCTCAGCCTGCTCCTGGCGGACTGCCCTTCTCTCCCTTTGTTGCCGCTGCACAAATGTGAGCTTGCCCAGTACGGCCCTGGCTAACAGCTATGCAGCGTGGCGATGTCCAATGGGCACTGAAGGCCCTCTTCGGGTTTATAACATGACTAATTTATCCTTTTGCTTTCGGCATGAGCAGTTTCTTCCCATTAAATGAAAGTGCCAGGTTAGTGTATCGAGACTTCATCAAATGTATGCATTTGTCTTTCCATCATCTTTGCCGAGCCTTTATATCATAGCAAGGGTTGGTGGCCTTTGCTTTTAAAAGCACACTAATCCTGCCTTCCTCCAGGTTACTGGCTGACAGGGAAGGGGGGTGCACGCATTTGTATCTGTCCATACTGATGGTCTATCGGTGTTGGGCATGCTACAGGTACCCAGTGATTAACTGTTTGTGTATCAACTGGGCCACACAACTCAGCAACAGTTTAACTTACAAATGGTTAAGTATATTCTTCTAGGTTTATATTATATAATCTTAGAAGGTCTATGTGACCAGATTGTAAACTGTTTCTGTATGAAATAATGTTCTACGTAAGATCTTTCAGAAAATCTAGTGCACTTAATTCACACCTCTATTATCACTTTTCTTCCCAAGCATTACCATCATCGGATTATGTTCCTGGGTGCCCCGCTAGCCTACAAGCTCCTTGTGGACAGGGACTGCCTGACGTATGGGAACACTCAGTATTTGGCAGATAAAATACAAAGTGCCAAGGAATATAAAGATATGTGTAGGACTCTCTGCATTCAGTAAATATATACAGAAAGGATAAGTTATTTGATTTTTTGAGTAAATCTCACAGATCATAATGTAGACCAATTACTGTCTCAAAGTAAAAATCTCTACTAAATAATGCGTATTCCTACCTGGCCCACTTCCATTTTGCTAAGCTCTATGAGAATAAGATGGAGAGAGAATACATTACAGTAAGTTGTTCTACTGATGTCCCTTCCACCACAGTTATCATCACTAGTATTATATATTCAGAAACAAATTGCTCTAAATTCCTTAAATTTCAAGAATTTCTCCAAGTATAAATGGGTGAGGGAGATTACAGACTATACAGAAATTGTCAATGCTTTCTAATTACCAATGGTTTAGAAAAAAGGCATGATCAATACAGAGAAGACTTAATTTACAGGCCAATGCAGTGCTTATCTATATAATATTTTTTAATAAGAAAGGAACACACCCTCTGTAACAGTGGTTAGAACCCTGGAAACCTTCTCATTCCTGCTTGATAGCCCCAATGCTACAATTACTGCTAAATAAATTCTCTCTATATGCTTCTCAGATCCCAAACTCAACAAGTGAATGTTCTCAAACCTTGGAATCTGTGACTTTCCAAAAGATTACATATTTCAACCATTACTAAATTGTAAAAGCCTTCATGCACACAGCAGAGACCTTGAGATGAGAGCGCCAGCCTCAAACAGGCATTTCCCCAATGAGGAGAGAGTGTACAGACTGGCGTGCAGCCAGCTGCCTGAGTGGAATGAACAATCTGAGAGACAGACTGCAGCCCGGGGACCCTGCTGTTGCCCGACTATTTCTGGTGGGATTAAAGCTGGCGCTTACGCAAGACTGGCCTGCGAGAACAGGTAGTTGACCATCTAAACCGCAGGAAAATGTACAAACCTTTTGAAAAAGCAATCACAAATACTGAATATTTATAGTACTTAGAACAAATCACTAAGTGGAGGTACTTCTGAGCTTTCATGAACAGGCAGGCTGCATTTTTCTTCCGATTTTCAGGGAGTAGGGGTGGAAAATGGAAAGCCTGAGTGTGTCTTTAATAAAATGCGGAGACTTTTGCTTCAAAAATCCTTGTTTCCATTTTTGATTGATAAATGGACAATTCAACGTACTACCCAATGACAGATCAATTCTATTTATTTTAGAAGTAAAGACCCTTAGGAAAAAGCAGTCTCACATCAGCTGACCTACCTAGTACATACACCTGAACCAGACAGTAGAAAATGGTTTTCCTTGAAGGATCATCCAAGTGTAGTCACGGGAAAGAATTTTCTTATGATGTGTAACAACTTCCAGGGATTAAAGGAAATCCTTGGCTATCAAACCTCAGGAATTTCCCAGAGCTTTAAATGACTTTACATTTTAGTAAAAAAAAAATTATATTATTCATGTCGGGAGAAGGATGTAAGTTTAACCCCAATCAAAATAATGGCTTAGTAATTAAACACCATTTTAATTAAAGTTGCATTTAAAAGCAAGTGTGATCTTTTAGTCTGATATTTCCCTTCTCATAGTATTTTTTTAAACTACCACATAACATGATGTAAGTCCAGAATAATAATCACCATCACTATCTTTTAACAATGCCGCTTCACTTACTTGTTGCTTGATTCTGGGGTTCCATCTAATGTAGTAATTCACCCAAAGTTCCAAGTGACGCATACTGGCAACTGGATATAAAACTCGATTGATTTCTTTAGTATAGAAGGGATTTTTGAATTTGTCTTTATTACTGTTTATCAGCGACCACAAAGAAACTGTTCTTTCTGTAACTTTCTATAGAGAAAGAGAAAGTAGAAAGCCTAAGTTAAAACACAGAAGTACACAAACCATTTTGCAGCCCTCGGCAATACAGCTGAGCAGCAACTTGAATCACACATTTACATTAAACCCGTAATAGCTCAAAAAGCCTCCAGGGCCAGTGAGTGCTCAGGCAGCCACTTACCAAGATTTGCATAGATAATGGCAGAGCTTAAGAGCCACTCTTTCTGCGGGAAGATAAGAGGTGCAGGATGCTGTAACGTTAAATGCACTTCACTGCCCTATGAAGACTATTCCTACCTAGGTAAAACATTTATGAACAGATGGGCAGTATGCTCTTTTTAACTCAGCAGAAAGAAAAATTACCATAAGATCCCGCAGACCTTTTTCCTTTTTGTATCTGTTATAACTACGAAATCTTAACCTGTGTCTACCTGACAGTAGGCATCTAGATATAAAGTTATTTTAATCAACCATCTAGATGTTCAATCTACATCATGGCAACATCCAGACGTTTCAAAACATCTGTACTGAATCCTCATTTTTTAGTTTGGTATCCATCATTTCCTACAGATGTTCATATTTGCATTGTGTTTTACTAGAGATTTTTATCGATTTGACTGTAAACTAGAGAAAAATGAAAGTTCTGGAAATAAAAACACAAGTATCAAAACTAGTGAAGGCAGAATTTGAAATTCTTCTTAGTAATGACTTCAATAAGAACAGACAAGTAAAAACTGGAGGCTAGAAAGAACAGCTTGAAATAAGTGACTGGAGAAATCTCTTTAATGTACATATTCCGTTAATGTATATGACAATGAGGGCGGCATCATTTTGCATTCCTTGGAATCCACTGAAAATTTCATCTGGACCTTTCTGATGCCACAATCTATATTGCATTGTGTTTATTTGCAGGCTTGCTTTTATTGTTATACATGCACACAATTTATAAAGTCAAATAGCTTGACAAGGTTATGAAAAAAAAAGGCTGCCTCTCACCTGCCCCCAGAAGCAACTGCTTGATTTTGGAATTGATTTGGTTATTTGGTACTAAACCTCCGTAGCTCTAAGTAACCTGCTTTCCTAGCTACCTGTTGGCTATCCAGTTACAGGCACCGATTACTGAGTGTGCTGCAAGGAGAATGTATTCCCGTCCTGCTACCCACACACGGTCTGTGCTGGGCTCACTCCCAGTGTGAGGAGACCGCTGTTTAGTGTTTCAGTTCCAGGTGAGCCACCTACTTGTGGTTCTCTGATTTCTTTTCCTGCACAATTTTTTATTTGTTCGTTTTCCCTTGACTTAACAACTGCGTTCTGCCCTGTTTTCTTACTTTCTTTGGTACTTATCATTGCTTCAACCCCAAACTCTTCCTCTAGCATCTCAAACTTCTGTCAAGACACTTGGCACATTCAGGGTCCGCAGTGTCCTCCTCAGGAGAAAGGGCACTAGTGGCCCCTACACCCTGTGCCCAAGCTCTCATCTAGGATCTCTCTGCCGTTTCTCCTGGAGAATCCCCCCTTGCCCTTCTCAGTGCTGGGACCTCTACTTCCTGAATTCCAGCCGTCTTCTTCCTTGTTTGCATGGAGTGCATACTCCAGCAGTTTCCAGAGAAAGGGTGTGGGGTGTGAGATAGATCTTTCTGGATGCCAGGCATGTCTGATAATATCTCTGGTCTACCTTCACATCTGGTTGACAGTTTGGTGGCTACTGAATTCTAGGTTGAGATCATTTTGCTTTTTTCAAATTCTGACAGCAATGACCTACTGACTTTGAGCTTCCAACATTGCTGTTGAAGAATTCAGTTTTCCTGATTTGTCTCTTTGCAAACACCCATTGTTTTTCTCTTCGGAAGCCTGAAGCATGTTTTCTTTGTCCCTGGTGTCCTGAAATTTCATCAAGATGTGACTTAAATATGGGTCTATATTTATTCCCAGTGCTTTTCCTACCACATGGTGGCCTTTCAATGTGGAAACTCACATACTTTAATTCTGGGAAATATTCTCAAATCATTGTGGTGATTTTCTGCTGTCTGGCTTTCCCATTTTCTCTGTAGAGTTCCTATTCCTTGGGTAATGGACCTCTTTGACTGAACTTCTAGTTTTCTTATCTTGTCCCCATTTTCTACCTCTGTTTCTATACTTTACTTCCTGGGAAATTTCAACTTTATCTTCCAGCTCTTCCGGGTTTCTAATTCCTATTGATATGCTTTTGATTTCGAGTTCTTCCTGAGCTCTAAATGTTCTTTCCAAGTAATACCCTGTTGTTATTTCATGGTACCAACGTTTTCTTATCTTCCTTGGGATATTAAATGAGTTTCCTCTCTCCGTATCTCCTCTCCCTACATGCTGGCTATTTTCTCCAAGAGGCTTTTTCTCCCTTTTGGCTGTCCGCTATTATTCAAGAGTGGAGGACGGAAGAGCTGACTGGAAGCTCTGAGATGAGGAGGCTTATCAACCTGAGCTTCACTGTGGAGATCCCTGGATGTTAGTATCTTTAGGTCCTTCTTCTTGGGCTAGTCTGTTTCTCCACTGATGGTTCTTTTTTTCTTTCTGATTGAGGTGGAGCTCACCTACCACAGAATTCACCATGTTAAAGTGTACAAGTCAGGCAGACTCAGAGACTCCAAGAAGGGACTAGTGGTTACCAAAGGGAGGGGTGGGGGAGGGTGGGTGGGGAGGGAGGGAGAAGGGATTGAGGGGTATTTCGATTAGTACACAGGGTGTGTATGTGGGTCACAGGGAAGAAGGGAAGGCAGTGTAGCACAGAGAAGGCAAATAGTGACTCTGTGGCATCTTACTACACTGATGGCCAGTGACTGCAATGGGGCATCGGGGGGGACTCAATAACAGGGGTGAATGTAGCAACCACAATGTTTCTCATGTGAAACTTTTGTAAAAGTGTATATCAATGACACCTTAATTAAAAAGAAAAAGAAAAACAAAGAAACAAACAAAAAGCCCACAACTCAGGGCTTTTAGGGCATTCACAGTGTTGTACAACCAGCACCTCTATTGAGTTCGAAGACAATTTCCTCATTCCCAAAGGAACCCTGTACCCATGAACCAGTCACTCCCCAGTCTCCCTGCCCCCCAGTCCCTGTCAACCACTGTTCTGCTGTCTCTGTGGGCTTGTTAGTCTGGACATTTCATATCAGTAGAATTGCACAGTATGTGGCTTCTGTGTCTGGCTCCTTTCACTTAGTGTGATGTTTTCAAGGTTCGTCCGTGTCACAGCATGGATCAGCGCTTCATGCCTTTCTACGGCTGAAGGAGACTCTGTGGTATTGGCTGATGGACACTGGGGGTGTTGGTACCTTTCCGCCATAAACAAGAGATGAGGGCCTGCTGCCAGGACGCTGGGAGTGGCCATGGGCTAGCCTTTCCTCATTCACCTCACCCGGGTGACACTCAGGTCCCCAGCCTGGGACACACTCTCCCTCTCTCAAGGGGGAGGGGAGGGGGTCTGGGGAAGCTAACTGCTTATCCTAAACAGACCTTCGGGCTATGTCATCCTGCCCTCTGTGCCACAGACACCCGGTAAACCTTTCTCCCAGAAACCAAGTCACTTGGGGTTGCTGCGGAGCAAAGTGGGCTGGTTCTGGGCTTCCCTGCTGCTCATCTGAGACTCATTTTTCTCAAGCTAAGTTATTTGCCACTGATCTACTAGCTTTCCGGCTTCCAGAAGTTTTGTTGCTGTGTCTCCTCTCTCATTTCCTCTGTTTGTGGGATTATGCCTTTAAAAGAAGCCTCCCTTTACTAATGTTTTTATGGCATTTTGGGAGGGAAACGCTGTACACCTTGAGGTCATTCCTACTCTCTGAGGGCAAAGCCAGCATCTTACCTCAACAGTGAATACACTCAACAAACTGCTTCAAGTGAAAACCACCATATTTGGGGCAAAAAATGAGGACCTTTGCATTTACTGCAAATCAAGCTATCAAATTCATTAATTTTTTTCATGGCAGATTAGCCACACATAACCAAAAAGAGTAGCATTTTCACTCACCTGTCTTTCTCGAACAGATTCACAGTTGTACAAAAAAGTACCAAACCGGCAACTGTACAGATGATCCAAAATTGTGATCAAAAATCGTTCATTGAATTCAAAAGCCGTAGGGAACTAGACACAAACAAGCAAACAAGGCATGAAAACACAGCACCAACCTCCTCTGGAATGGAACACAGGGGCACAAACACTGCGGCGCTGCAGCCCTCCGGGAAGGAGGCAGGAGGCAGAGGCGGCAACGTGCACCCGCCTTCCAGCCCCGCGGCTCACTTGCCAGCACTCTGCGTGGGACTGAGGACAGTCAGGAAGTGTCAGGTGAAGGAATAAAGACAAAAACAAGCTCACTATCTTGCTAGTTCAGAGTGTGCAGGGCACACAGGACAGTTTGCTTAGGTGACGTATTATGTTAGCATGGAATGAATGGAAAAGACGACTTTCCATTACAATTTTGTTGCTCCTCCATTAGTAGAGAGGATATAGTTAAATATTCAATTTTAAAACCTTTATTATGGAAAGTTCCACACATATAAATAGTAGTGAGAATAAAAAAGTGAACCCCACATACCCGTTACCTGGCTTCAACAATTATTTACACATGGTCAGACTTGTTTCATCTCTACCTCTGCCCTTTATTAAGTGGGGGCAAATCCAAGATACTATATAAAAATATTTAAATGTTAAGTCAAATGTATTTATATCTGGTATGTCCCTTACCTGTTTTGACATTTGCCATACACAGTCAATAAACTGGAGAAAAATAGGAGATCGGTCTGCATCAGCGTGGTTCTTATCACCATGACCTATTCTCTGAAAAGAATTGAAAGATAATTTGTTTTAACTTACAGGTACAAAACTGAGAGGCCATATAACCCATGAAATGTGAGAATATGACTCAGCAATCTGCTTTCCAAATGCCAAGTTTCTCAGACAGTAAGTAGTACACTTTTCCTTCACAATATAGAAAATAAAATCAGGTTTGAACTAATGGAAATTAAGTATATAAACTTCTATAAAATACCAATCCAAATTGACGAAGTGTCATCATATTGTGAGCATTACAACTATTTCACATGACTGGAATGCTGTCCAAGTCCTGAGCAGCTACTGGGCCAGATGATCCTGCAGACTTGTTGACAGTGGCTAAGGGACCGATCCTACAGTTTCAAGACTTGGAATCAGGTCCAAAAGGGTGTGATTGTTATAAGCAAGGTAAGTTCTTTCTCTCTTGAGAACAAGATGAAAACCTCACCATTTATGCATTGACTAAACAATGATTCTTTCTGTGTGAACATGTGACACAGTACTTATGAAACTTGGATGGAGGCTAAAAGGCTCCCCATCAGAATCATGTGGGGGAGCTTGGTAGAAATGCTTATTCAAAGGATGTCTGGAAACTATACCTGGAAATGGAAATTTTAATATGTTCCCTCGATTTTTAAAATGTTTATCAAAGAAAAATAATAAAAAAGCCTCAACTGAAAGTCTAGAAATTCTATAAAATACATGTGTTCTAATAGCTGTAACACTGCTTGAGAAACAACTGTCATTTTATCGTCCTTCTTTTGTGCAATTTCAACTTTAACAATTCTATGAAGATTCTTTACTTTCAAGTGAACCTGTAACAGTGTGCGTGGATAAACATACCTCCTAAGATGACTTTCACTAGCCCAAGGTATCACACAATTTCAAACCTATAAAGTCCTTTTTATTAGCAGCCCTCAGATTTTCTTTTTAAAAGCGAATATACGGTTTAACAACTACTGTAGTTTTTTATTCCCGAACACCAGTGATCTGACATTTAAACAATTAGCTTTGTTGTTTACTTACAGATGCAAATTTATGTCCAAAACTTATCCATTCTTTTTGTACCAGTATTTCAAACCCTTCGATGCTCCGGTAGAAGCTGTCTAGCATCAACATGGCCAGTGACGTCAGCTGGGCAGTCCTGTCCCATCCGTCACTGCAGTGCACGAGCACCGAGCTCTTCCCTGAAGAAACTTTGTCTGCTACTTGAATGGCTCCTGTCAGAACAAGCTGGCAAAGAAAAAACCTGCGAGTCAATCAGTAGCTGTAAGACGCTGCTTTATTAAACCTGAAATTACAGTTTTTAACCATAGAGAAAGGTGTTCTCCATGTACACATATCTTTGTCCAAATTACTCCTTAAGGACAATAGTCTTACTGGATCAGTCCCACTCCCACCCCCCCCACACACTATGACCTCATCTTAACTAATCACATCCTGCACCTGACCCCCCCAGGTGCTGGGGGTCAGGACTTCAACAGAAGAATTTTGGGAGACCCAATTCAATGCAAAATAGTGATCACTTCAGAAAAATCACTGCCCCAACAGGTCCAGTCTGGACCTTAAAAGCCTGATACAATGGAAATCACCATTTAGACTTTAAATTGACAGAATATGAACTGTTATGTGGCTTGTAAGAAGCAAAACACATAACTCAAGATAAAGTGATGCAGCAATCAGACAACACAAAGAAATAAAAGGCATCCAGATTGGTAAAGAAGTTGTTAAACTTTCAGTTTGCACACGACATAATATTGTACATAAAAAAACCCTAAAGAATCTACTCCAAAACTACTAGATCTAATATCTGAATTCAGCAAAGTTGCAGGATACAAAATTAGTACACAGAAATCTGTTGGTTTCCTATACACTAACGTTGAATTAGCAGAAAGAGAAATCAGGAAAACAATTCCATTCACATTTGCATCAAAAGGAATAAAATACCTAGGAATAAACCTAACCAAGGAAGTGAAAGACCTGTACTCCTAAAACTACAAGACACTCTTAAGAGAAGTTAAAGAAGATACCAATAAATGGAAACACATCCCGTGTTCATGGATAGGAAGAATGAATATTGTCAAAATGGCCATCCTGCCTAAAGCAATCTACAGGTTTAGTGCAATCCCTATCAAAATACCAAAAGCATTCTTCAACGAACTAGAGAAAATCGTTCTAAAATTCATATGGAGCCACAAAAGACCCGAATAGCCAAAGCAATCCTGAGAAGGAAGAATAAAGCAGGGGGAATTATTCTCCCTGACTTCAAGCTCTACTACAAAGCCACAGTAATTAAGACAATTTGGTACTGGCACAAGAACAGACCCACAGACCAGTGGAAGAGAATAGAGCATCCAGATATTAACCCAAGCATATATGGTCAATTAATATATGATAAAGTAGCTATGGACATACAATGGGGAAATGGCAGCCTCTTCAACAACTGGTGTTGGCAAAACTGGACAGCTACATGCCAGAGAATGAAACTGGATTATTGTTTAACCCCATACACAAAAGTAAACTCAAAATGGATCAAAGACCTGAATGTAAGTCATGAAACTATAAAACTCTTATAAGACATAGGCAAAAATCTCCTGAATATAAGCAGGAGCAACTTCTTCCTGAACGCATCTCCTCGAGCAAGGGAAACAAAAGCAAAAATGAACTCATGGGACTACATCAAACCAAAAAGCTTCTGTACAGCAAAGGACACCATTAACAGAACAAAAAGGCATCCTACAGTATGGGAGCATATAATTTACGCAACATATCCGACAAGGGGTTAACATCCAAAATATATAAAGAACTCACACGCGTCAACACCTTAAAAGCAAATAACCTGATTAAAAAAAGGGTGGAGGATTAGAACAGACACTTCTTCAAAGAAGAAATTCAGATGGCCAACAGGCTCATGAAAAGATGCTCCACATCGCTAATTTTCAGGGAAATGCAAATTAAAACCACAATGAGACATCACCTCACACCAGTTAGGATGGCCAGCATGGAAAAGACTAAGAACAACAAATGCTGGCGAGGATGTAGAGAAAAGGGAACCCTTCTAGACTGCTGGTGGGAATGTAAGCTAGTTCAACCACTGTGGAAAGCAGTATGGAGGTTCTTCAAAAAACTAAAAATAGAAATACCATTTTACCCAATCATTCCACTCCTAGGAATTTACACAAAGTTCTCAGATTCAAAGTTCTCAGATTCAAAAAGACATATGCACCCCAATGTGTATTGCAGCACTATTTACAATAGCCAAGATAGGGAAGCAACCTAAGTGTCCATCAGTTGATGAATGGATAAAGAACACATGGTACATATACACAATGGAATACTATTCAGCCATAAGAAAGAAACAAATCCTACCATTTGCAACAACATGGATGGAGCTGGAGGATATTATGCTCAGTGAAATAAGCCAGGCGGAGAAAGACAAGTGCCAAATGATTTCCCTCATTTGTGGAGCATAAGAATGAAGCAAAACTGAAGGAACAAAACAGCAGCAGACTCACAGCCTCCAAGAAGGAACTAGTGGTTACCAAAGGGGAGGGGTGGGGAGGGAGGGAGGAGATTGAGGGGTATTATGTTTAGTACACATGGTGTGGGGAGGATCATGGGGAAGACAGGGTAGCACAGAGAAGGCAAACAGTGAATCTGTGGCATCTTACTACACTGATGGACAGTGACTGCATTGGGGTATGGGTGGGGACTCGATAACATGGGTGAATGTAGTAACCACATTGATTTTTCATGTGAAACCTACATAAGAGTGCGTATCAATAATACCTTAATAAAAAAAAGATAAAGTGATGGCCTTCTACTAAAAGTATGAGACTTACAAGGACTACTAAATTTATATATGCAAAGACTCATTGCTATGATGTAATTTTTTGGTGATTTATTTATTTATAGAGGTAAATGTTACAGACCATAGAATTTACCCATTATAAGTATGCAGTTTGCTAGGATATAGTCAATCGTACAATTATGCAGCTGTGCAACCACTGCCATAATCTAGTTGTTGAACACTTCTATCACCCGAACAAGTTTCTGTGTGCCCTCTGAGGTCAATCCCTGTTCCCAGCCCCTCAGTCCCAGGCAACCACTGATTTGCTTGCTGTCTCTACAGCTTTGCCTTTACTAGAAATGTCATATAAATGGAATCATATAATAGGTGGTCTTTTACATCTGGCTTCTTTCACTTAGCATAATGTTTTCAAGGTTCATCCATGTTGTAGCATGTGTCACCACTTCGTTCCTTTCTGTGGCCTAAAAGCATCCCATTTTATGGACAGACCACATTTTATTTATCCATTCCTGAGCTGATGGACATTTGGTTGTTTCTGGCATTTGGTTCGTATGAATAATGCTGCTGTGAACTTTTGCAAACACATTTTTATAGGGACATTAAGTTTTTCCTTTCTCTTGGGGAAACACCTAGGAGCAAATAGTTGGATCATATAGTAAATGTATGTTTAACTTTTTAAGAAACTGCCCAATTGTTTTCAAAAGTGGTTGTACCATTTCACATTCCCAGTATCAGTGTATGAGGGTCCCAGCTTCTCATGTACACAGCCACTCGCATACATTGTCATTTTAGAGCTCCCCAAATTCTAACAGCCATGAAACAATCATGTATTAATGAATTCAAGGAGATTGAAATACTCATTTATTTTAACTACTTAAAGAAAAGTCAGATGAAGTGAAAATGTTTAGAAATGTTAAAAGAAATGTAAGTTTATTATTTTGCCATAAATAATAACTAAAGTGGACAGAGTACCAATGAGGACAGGTTAGGGGACCTGATGGGGCACATCAATTATCTGTATAAAAATCATTGCTTTTAAAATGACTAGAGCAGGCTTATTTCTTTGAGCTTTTAAAGTGTCTCCTTGAAGTCCTGTTTACAATCTTTCATTTGAGGCACTTCTGAAGAAGGGGCTGATGAGAAGCAATGGTAAATACTAGATCACTTGAGTCCAACTTAATGAAGTCAAGCTTCTAATGCATTTTTACAGAGGGCAACTTTCACTCCAGATACTTCTCTTATGATAAAAAAGGGGAATTTTTATAATAGTTATTATATTTTAAAAAGGGACAATCTTGATCAGTTATCTCTAAAAATATTGGATGCTTTCTAATAAAGTATGAATTCCCATCATCACTTCTTGACAGGAACAGTTGTAATTATCTAATGAAACTAAATCAGAAAAAAAAACACATCACTGAAAACTCTTAAGTAATTGGGTGGACTTGTGACTGAAGGGAAGAAATGACAGTCATCAAGCAGCATACAGCGCGGTGCCCTAGAGAATTGGCCCCGTGGCTGGCCCTGCTGGGACTCTGTCAGGTACTGGCATGAGGGTCTGGGACACATGCCACAGGCAGCAGTCTTCTGGAGGGCAAAAGGCTTGCCCTATTGTCCACACAAAGGAAAGCACAAACAGGAAAATACAAATGATCGCAGGCATCATACCTCAGAAAGATACAACTTTTCCTCTACATTTAGGTTGTTTCCAATTTTTCACTATTAGAAACATCCTAGTATATTCATCTTTTCAGATTTGTGTAGTTATTCCCTTTAAAAAATACCTAAATATATTTTTTCACTTTTTGTGGAGAGTTCTTCTCAAGATCATAGGGCCCTCCACCCTTCCCTTCCTTTAACTAGCTTTTCAACAGAATAGCCTCGATTCACTCCCTGACATCCTCTCTACTAAAGGGCTGGGCTTCAATGTGTTGCCCAATGGCTGATTTCCAGAGGTACATCTTAGTCCTAAGCCTCTGTTGAAAGCTTCCCTTTGCATGAATAACTGCCTGTTTGACACCAGTAGGTGCGTGGCCTGCCCCGCTACCTCAAGCATGTGGGGTTTCTCTTGACCACGGTCCCGGCCAGGACCACCCTGCTTCTGCGAATGGTGGCATTACCTTCTTCTTCATTTCTCTAGATCCTGTATTAGCTAATCACCAGGTGGCACAGGCCCTTCCTTGGCAACATTCGTGTCTGGCCCTTTATAGTGCCACCCCTCCCCTCCCCTTCTCACCTCAGCAGCATTCTAGTCTAGGCCAAGACTACCCATCTCTGGACTCTTGAAATGGCTCTGTTTTCTCTGACTTTACTGTCTCCCCTCGCTTAATTCTACAAGCAGCTGCCAGAACATTTTCCTAAAATACCACACTATCCCCAAACCTCTGCAGCTCCCAACAACCTGCCTTGAAAGTCAAGGTCCCTGACTGCGTGACTTCTCCCAGATGTCTCTAGATTAACCTGCAACCACAGAAATCCTCACTCTTCCCAATGCGGCCTCGCCGGGGCCTGCATCTGGGATTTTGTCCTGATGGCCCTCTTTCTCTGGAATGGGTTCCTTCATCCCTTTTTCTTTCTTTAGGGACCAGATCAAATCCCACCGAATCCCAGAAGGCCTGTTCCTGCCACTGCCTTTGCTATGAAGGCTCGCTGGGACTTAACACACGGTACTGTGGAATATTATGCTCCCTTTTACATATACATATCATCTCTCCAAGCATAAGAACCTCCTTAAAGGCAGGAAGTATGCCTTATACCTTTTTTCATTCACAGGGTCGAGTACGATGTTTTGTGCATAGTAAGAGTACAATCCTTCTTTAAAGTAAACTTCATTTTAGAATAGTGTTAGATTTATAGACCAGTCATAAAGTACTATGGAAAGTTCCCAATCCTTGACCCAGTTTCCTCTACTACTGACATCTTATAATAGTATGGTACATTTGTCACAACTAATGAAACAATGTTGATACATTATTAAGTTATTTAAAAACCTGTTAACTAATTTTTAATAAAATCCATACTTCATTTAGATTTCTTTTGTTGTTCCCTAATGTCTTTTTTCTAATCCAGGATCCCATCCAGGAAACCACATAATAACATTTAGTTGCTACAATTAATTTTTTCTGCAATTCAGTTTTGAGGATGATAGATTAGGAAAAAATGAAAGGTAAAATAAAAATATAATTCCTATCAAGTTAGAAAATAAAATTTGACTATAAAACAGTCTATATTACTAATTCACCTATTTAAAGTAGGCTTTTTGTTTATTTACAGAACGGAATGGAGCATCTAACAGTGTCAGTTCCCTCAGATGATAGCTTCACATACTTTTACTTTTGAAAGAATGGAGGTTTTTGATGCCTTTATCAAGATGAATGATTGAATATAACAAAAATACATAAATCAGTTTAAGATTAGTTTCAATAAAAGCAATCTCTGTCCAAGTCCTTGAGGGTCCTACCCAGTAAAGGTCAGGTAAATTCAAATTCCTAAATAAACCTGGGCACAAGAACCAACTCCTCACTACTGATGAGCTGGAAAATGACATCTCTGCATACTCTGAAAATGTTCTGGAGGTAGAGCTGTGAAATGTTTAATTAAGACCAGCAAGTTATAAAGAGACACAAAATGGTCAAATGCAGAACCCTATGCTACAAATATTTCGTCTCTTATTCAATTTTTTTAAGTTTAAGGAATCAAAGACATTCCTGTTCCATTAAAGAATTACTTTCTTCTTTATGTATGTAAATCTTTAAAAAACTACATACTTACCTTGATATGTTCTAACCAATGAGTAGACTCTAAACTGGACAACCAATGAGACTCTTCCACATTTGGATAAACAATGTCTTTGACCTTTTTTAAAGATTCCCGCATAACATGAATGTTATGAATGTCTAAGAAGAACAGTTCAGCGTTATGATATGCATCATCACTTTCATATCCTCCTCCTGTTGCCTAAGAAACAACAAGACATACAAACAATCAGTTGGGTTTTCTATTTCAGCAATAACTAACACAAATATTTCAAAAGTTATTGGTCCTCTGAATCTCAGCCTAAACCTTTTCAACTTACATACAAGGACTGACTTGACAGTTAACTAGGGAGTAAGATTGAAAAGAAAATAACACCTAGGTCTCACAGGATTAAAGGAGCCATACTCTCTAACAGCTAACACCAGCCACCATTTAATGAGCCCCGGGGATGTCCCAGATACCATGATTCTTGCTTTACACCACTTCATCTCATGCTTACTTATCTCAAGATAGGTATGGCTAACCCCATTTTGCAAAGGAGATGAGATGCTACTTTACGATCCCCAAAGTTACACAGGTAATCAGTAAAATTTCAAAGTTGTCTGACTTCAAGGCCAGATCTTTGCTAGTGATCCATGGCTGTCCGCTCTGCAAACAAATACCAAGGACAGAGCACTGCACATAACGGGCCCTCAAAGAACAAAAGGTTTCAAGATGGCTGCCACTTGCCACAGCACATCCAAGTATGAACTTGCCAGGGCAGGCATCAGGCCACTCTCATGGCCTGGTGAAGATGCCTGTTTCTCATATACGCAAAAAAGATATGCTATGGTTTTATTTAGGAACCTGGCTGCATTCTGCTTATTTCATTTCTCATTGAAATATTAAAACACCATGGAACATGTGGTCTCTGGCCCTTTAAGAAAAAGCCAAATAATTCAGAGCCTTGTGAAGCAATGTTCTGTGAGCTGAAATGAAAGGACGCTAATTGACATTGTAAAAATTTATGAATGTGTAAACTCACCAGTAAAGGCAAATATAGAATCAAAGTGACACTTTGCATGTGGAAGGAGGACACGGAAGCGTGCCTGCAACAGGAGAGTAAAGGGAAGGCACCAGACAAATGCCTGTCACTACTTTAGGCCTCTTTTCTTCTCGCGCACAATAGAAGGAATAGGAATTCGCAGCTCAGGACAGAAGGGCCAACACATCCTACAGTTTTTTTCTGGGATTGCTCTGAGATGTTTTCTGCAGTAGACATAAGGCTACCACCTGAACTTCAAACCTACAGACCTATGTACAGGCCCGAGGCTCTGGTCTCCAAAGACCAAGGTGAGAAAATATATATTTTTTAGATTGAGACATGTATTTTAAAGCTTGTTATAAATAGCATCAGTGGCAAGAGGACAATAAACATTCACTTGTTGTTTTTAAAAAGTACCTAATGAATAAATAGAAAAATGGGCCATATTCTCCTCTTTTCAGTTATCCATGTCTTGGAGGTAAAACTTATAGTTCCGAACAGAGGTCAGGACACAGGTGCTCCTATCCACCTGGCAGTCCCTTTGGCATAACTGGAGGCACACGGCATGGGAGGAAACGGCGAGCCTAAGTGTTACTAGATCTGCAAGCCTGTAATGCAGTGACACACGTCACCCTCCCACTGTCGTCCTGCTTCTTTGCACATGTGGTTTGTAAATAGTTAACTGTGATTTTCAAAGACACTCACAATGTTGGGGTTTCTTTCATAAATAACTGAACATGATATGTGAAAAACTAAAAGGAAAAATATACTTAGTACTCATTGCCAACGTTTCTGGCAAAATAGACATTAATATAGTTCCACTTGAATTCATCACAGTGTACTGCCACAAAATCGAAGCAGCTTGGTGTTGGATCTTATCTATCACTGGGCTTGTTTGTTCAGTTTAAAATGGTGTGATGTTGGTTGTTATATCTGGGGTTGTAAATTTCTAAATATCCACAGGGAGGAACAATTACATCTAAAGAGAACAGAAGTCAGAAGGGTTAAGAATCAATTAGTCAAGCATAGATTGAGTTCCCAAAAGTTCAAATTCTCCATCTCTGGTTAGTTTTGAAGTCTTCTTTTCCATTTCCTTCTCTTCAACAAAAAGAACAACCCAGATTACCTTGTACAACGACGTAAAGGTCCACGGGCCTGTTGCTATGGATATAGATGCTAGGGGAGACACATAGCTGAGGGAGGGGGGAACCCAAGCATGGCTTTTAATGAATGATGCAGAGATCTTTAAAAGCCTAAGCTTGTTTCCTTAATTTTTTCGTTCCCTTCATTCCTAAGAGGACTTAGAAACACAGGCATATTTCCTGAATATTAAAAAGGCATTCAAGAATTTTGCCGCTGTAACAATGAGCTTTAGAGTTATTATGATGGCTTTCATTTTATGTATTCTAATATTTTAAAACGTTCTTTCTAAATACTTCATTTTAATGTTACATCATATGTATTTCAGGCTACATGTGTACATGGAAATATTGCATTTTATACATGCATTTGCCTTTGAACTTTATACGAAAGACAGCAGGAACAGAAATATAAAAAGCTAAGGATAATCCAAGATAATTTCCTAAATGCTTTACTTAAAATTCCTATTTTCCTTATTGATTTCACTTCCTGATTGCTTTACATATAATTTCAAAATCATTGTTACTACCTGAACAAAAACCAACTGTAGTAAAAAAAAGAGCTGGCCCAAGGGCAGGCAACGTGCAGAGGGGGACCCCAGGAGTAAATGTGTAAGACAATCTGTGTGCAAATACTGCAAGTGGAGCTCCCCTACACACACTGTCTGTACACACTCATGCATACACACATCACAGGTTCCATTTAGGAAGCTGCTGCGTCTATCTGAGCTGCTCGAGGACTTGTTTTTGCTTTCAGATTCTTGTCTCGAGCTATGAATAATTGAGGATGCCAGATAAATGACCTCGGGATAAGTAAAGTATTCAAGATGATGAAATTTAAGCCTACAGCCGAGGAGAAACAATAGATGTGAAAGGCGGAATGGGGGTGAACAACTCAGGGCAGGCCCACTGCGAGAACTTGTAAGTGACAGCTGGCAATAATGGGAGAAGGGGAAAAAAAAGAGGAATTGAATGTAAGAAGTGTATCAATCTGGGGCTACTCAGTGTACGGGCAAACAGGCTTAAACCTAGCAGTCGCTTCTGAGGAGCTCCTGAATGTCTACTACTGGTGCTTACAGTGATGGCCCTGGTCAGCTTTAGGGGCACTCGGCATACTCTGCTTAAGAAGGCTAAGAAGACAACTGAGACAGAGTTCTTTGAAAGTAACATTGTGTTTGCATGTGATTGTAAAATTCACATACATAGATCTACTCATGTCTTGAATCACATAAATAAGAAAACACATTTATGAGTGAAGACACTGTTTTGATAAAGCTATAAATTTTAGATTTTACCAATCACAGCTTCCTGCAATGCCTCACAGATGCCTCCATAATGCACACACTGAGAGTGATCACCAACAGCCTAAAGTGCTCCAATGAGAATCTAACTTTTGCCAAAACTCAAATTCATTATGGTTCTAGGCTTGCCTAATTTAACTAAAGATTAGTTTCACTTGCTTTTGATGTATTCAACTTTGAAGATACATTTTGTGATTAAAACTACCTCCTACCTCAGTGAACTAAGTTTAATTATTAATTTAAACCACGTGGCAAAAACATTCTTGTAAAACACCAGGAGGTCTATGTAAGGTAAGTTTCTATTGTGTCGTTAAATATACTCACCTTGTTGGCCACTGCATTTACATTGGGTCTTGCATCATAGATAGTAAGTTTAGAAATTTGTCTATTAGTCTCCCGGATAACATCAAGATATTTCTCATCATCTTTGTTTCGTTTACCACTCATGCCAACAAGAGGCTGACTGCAACGCACAATGACCATCTTGTTTTCTGGATGAATCCATGACAGCACCTATGGTCAGTTCAGAAATTTTAAGCCACCACGAAAAAACCAAATCTCAAAACAATGAAAACTATAAAAAAATAAAGCACTAACACCCGTGATGAATCAGATGCCACTGAAATGGAATGCTCGTTCACCCGCGATTCCACTGTGTGCCCAGAAGCACACACTTAACAGTGAAAACTATTCAGAGACAATTAGAACAACCAATTGCTTCACTAGTCTCAGTTAGTACCACATCAAATGGAAATTAAATGCTTACCTAAGCAGTTACATCACTTAACGGAAACAGAGATTATTCTGCTATTATTGCAGCTTTGTAGCTTTTAGCACATTTCTATCATACAAACAGCTTTAGCAGAAGGTGAGAAGTAAAGGAAATCACCCCTGGTACAGTACTTTCTATGGTACCAACTCACACCTACAGGTCATTTGCCCAAGAGTCTCAATTCTAGACTCTAACACAGTGGGGAGGAAATGCAAGGGAAGCAGAAACAGTTGCTGGTCTCCACCACGAAAGTCGTGCGCCCACCTCCTGGGAGAGTGCTCCCAGCCTTTACTAGGAATCTGTCTCCTAATTTCATACTGAAGTATAGCACATTTGATACATGGTTTAGCATCTCATGGCATACTAGAAACAATACCTGTAAAAGGGAGGTAATAATGAAGTACAGCAGAGACTACAGAACTGTCCATTTTAAATGAGTGAATTGTTTGGTAAGTGGATTTTATCTCAATAAAGCTGTAAAAAAAAAAAAAGCCAGAAAGTGAGTGTAGAGGGCAACAGTGTGGGCTCTGGGGACAGGTGCATCTCTGCAGAGGCTCTAACTGAGCCCAGAGCTCACAGCCCGTCACTTCCCTTTCCTGCTTCATCAAGTAGGTAGCAGCATTATCCCATGACTGCCGGAAGGACAATGGAGAATGCGTGAAAAGTACCAGGCACTGTGCAGGATGCTGGCACAAGGAAGCTTCTAAAGGCAGCTGGGTGGCTGTGAAGTTAGATATGAGAAACTACGAAAAGCAGACACAAAAGCTAAAGAAGTGTAACTGCTTGAGCTCAGTTAACACAAGGCCAAATGCACTGTCATCTCTGAAGTCACCCCCTACACGATGGCAAATGACAAGCATCAATGTTTATAAAAATCAATGTGCATAAAATAATGACAATGGGTTAGTGAGAAAAGAGTATATGATAATAAAGATGAAAATTCATTCACTCAGTCTTTCCGCCATGCCAGAAACCAGTTAAAAATACCACTGTGGTCCCTGGTATTCAAAGGTCAGAACTGGGAAGTGTTGGGCCAAGCCCTGGCCCTCTTAAGTCCTTTTCTTCAAAAGAGATAAAAGTCATGAGATCACTTTTATGTATTTATTTTTATTTAAAAAGTTATGTATGCAAAGATTTAGCCATCGAAAGATGTTTACCACAGCATTGTTTGTAACAGCAAAACCTGAGAAAGAACCTAGATGTCTCACAATAGAAAACTGATGAAATACATCTTCACACTGTCAGATAAGCAGGTATTTATAGTGTGGGAAACCCTTTCCATGACAATGCTAGACAAAGAAAGCAGACTGAGAGAAATTACAGAATACTTTTTTTTCCAAATAAAAATTTGTATGCATAGAAGGAAGTCTGGAAGGACATGGACCAAACTGTTCAGTGTGGTTCTCACTAGGTGGCAGACTTCTTTTTGCTTATTAGTATTTTCTAAAATGTCTTAAATATGTATTGCTTATGCGTTAAAGACTTCCTTTACAACAAGACAAACCTGTTGAGAACAAAGGAATATGTATCCATTAATAGGAACATCAATGCATGTGGATTATTTTGTTATTCAGCAATATAATAATTTGTATCTTATCTACACACTAAATAACAAGATTGCTTTCTTATCAATTTTTTTGTATTTATGTGGGCTTTTAAAAATAGAACTGAGGGAGGCGGAGCCAAGATGGCGGCATGAGTAGGACAGTGGAAATCTCCTCCCAAAAACATATATATTTTCGAAAATACAACAAATACAACTAATCCAAAAAGAGAGACCAGAAGGCACAGGACAAAGGCCAGACTACATCCACACCTGCGAGAAGCCAGCGCCTGGTGAAAGGGGTAAGATACAAGCCACGGCCTGGCGGGACCTGAGGCCCCTCACCCCAGCTCCCGGTGGGAGGAGAAGAGTCGGAGTGGGGAGGGAGAGGGAGCCCAGGACTGCTAAACACCCAGCCCTAGCCATCGCACCAGAGCGCAGACACAGTGCATGCTGGAAACTAGGGAAACAGGACAGTAAGACCCGTGAGCGGGTCCCCAAGCCGAAACCCCTGTGACAAAGAAAAGCGAGTGCTTTTTGAAAGTCTTAAAGGGACAGGGACCCCACCGCTGGACGGAAGCATCCCGGGTCACAGTCAAGCTGCTGGAAATTCCAGGTAACTCCGGGCGCACTAACCCCCTGGGCAACAGCTCTGAGACCCCTCACGGACGAAAACAGCAAAACAGCCCCCTGTCCATTACCCCTCCGGGGCCCCTGAATAGCAGAGCAGCAGCCTGAGGCTGGCCATGCCCACAGCGAGGGAGCTTCCTCCATACCGGCTGGGCAAGATACAGAGACCCAGTCTACACACAATTGCCCAACACAAGCCACTAGGGGTCGCAGTTGTCCCAGTAAAGAAAGGCCAGTGGAAAGTCTTGGCTCTCCCAGCTGACAGACGACTCAATAGCTCACCATTGCACCTATCAACATGAAAAGGCAAAAAAATATGATCCAGACAAGACTAGCCCAGAAAGCTTCGACATCTTCTACATCTTCCCCTGAGAAGGAACCTGGGGAGACAGATTTAACCAGTCTTCCTGAAAAGGAATTCAAAACAAAAGGCATAACCATGTTGATGGACTTGCAGAGAAATATGCAAGAACTAAGGAGGGAGAATACAGAAATAAAACAAGCTCTGGAAGGACTTCAAAGCAGAATGGACAAGATGCAAGAGACTACAAATAAACTAGAAAACAGAGAACAGGAACACAGAGAAGCTGATGCAGAGAGAGATAAAAGGATCTCCAAGAATGAAAGAATTTTAAGAGAACTGTGTGACCAATTAAAACGGAACAATACCCACATTATAGGAGTACCAGAAGAAGAAGAGAGAGAAAAAGGGATAGAAAGTGTCTTTGAAGAAATAATTGCTGAAAACTTCCCCAAACTAGGGGAGGAAAGGGCCTCTCAGACCACAGAGGTACACAGAACTCCCATGACAAGGGATCCAAGGAGGGCAACACCAAGACACATAATGATTAAAATGGCAAAGATCAAAGACAAGGACAGAGTATTAAAGGCAGCCAGAGAGAAAACAAAGGTTACCTACAAAGGAAAACCCATCAGGCTATCATCAGACTTCTCAACAGAAACCCTACACGCTAGAAGAGAATGGCATGATATACTTAATGCAATGACACAGAAGGGCCTTGAACTAAGAATACTGTATCCAGCACGATTATCATTTAAATATGAAGGAGGGATTAAACAATTCCCAGACAAGCACAAGTTGAGGGAATTTGCCTCCCACAAACCACCTCTATAGGACATCTTACAGGGACTGCTCTAGATGGGAGCACTCCTATAAAGAGCACAGAACAAAACACCCAACATATGAAGAAGGGAGGAGGAGGAATAAGAAGGGAGAGAAATAAAGAATCATCAGACCATATTTATAATAGCTCAATAAGTGAGTTAAGTTAGACAGTAAGATAGTAAGGAAGCTAACCTTGAACCTTTGGTAAACACAAACTGAAAGCCTGCAATGGCAATAAGTACATACCTTTCAGTAATCACCCTAAATGTAAATGGACTGAATGCACCAATCAAAAGACACAGAGTAATAGAATGGATAAAAAAGCAAGACCCATCCATATACTGCTTGCAAGAGACTCACCTCAAACTCAAAGACATGCACACACTTAAAGTCAAGGGATGGAAAAAGATATTTCATGTAAACAACATGGAGAAAAAAGCAGGTGTTGCAGTACTAGTATCAGACAAAATAGACTTCAAAATAAAGAAAGTAACAAAAGATAAAGAAGAACATTACATAATGATAAAGGGCTCAGTCCAACAGGAGGATATAACCATTATAAATATATATGTACCCAATACAGGAGCACCAACATATGTGAAACAAATACTAACAGAATTAAAGGAGGAAATAGAATGCAATGCATTCATTTTAGGAGACTTCAACACACCACTCACTCCAAAGGACAGATCCACCAGACAGAAAATAAGTAAGGACACAGAGGCACTGAACAACACACTAGAACAGATGGACCTAATAGACATCTA